ACCAATGTGATTGTTTATCAAATGGAAGCTCCCAAAATTTTGAGGGATTTGCCTGTAGACGGTCAATTCTCGTTTCTTCAAGCCAAGTACAATTTGAAAAACGAGGAGATTTTTCTGTACCTTGACCAGGCCCATTGTTTTGGCACTAATGTCGATGTCAACAATCCATCTGCAATTTTCGTGGTTACTTTCTCGGCGCTTGTTTGTAGCAAATATTTTTATAAAGCGCTTTTAAGAGCCCGAAATCTGTTGAATGGAATTTCGCATACAGCTCCGCTTAGTCCTCCAGAAGATCCACGCCACCAGATTAAGATTTTTGTTTCCTCAATCCAGAAAGAGGGCCAAAATATTCTTTCAACGCTAATTGCAAATGGCAACGAAGAATCGCAATCAAAAGACCTCCTTTTTCCCAATGTTATGCTGCTTGATAAAAAGACTGCCTTGAAAACAGTTTTTACTTCTGCTCAGTTGAATCAGCTAGAGAGAGATCATAAAGAGCGAGCTCTTTTACCCTGGCAAGCATTCTTTTCCAGGGCTTTGAAAAGCTTTTGGTTTCCCGTATATTATGCAGAAAACCCAACTCCAAACTGGGACTGGATTCTCAATCTGAAAGATCAAAAATCGATTGATAAGCTTAAATGGATCTTTTTTTCTGAGAGTATCGCAAAATTTAAGATTTTAATTTTTTTAAAAAATAGCAACATAGGGAGCATATTTTTCCGCGACTCTGAAATCTCTTCGATTCCATCAGTTAGCAAAGACTTTGCATGGGATATCGAGACTATTGTTCACTATACCCAAAAGAAAGATGATATTCATGAAACCCTTGAAGATCTAAATGCAGAGGCTTCATGGGCGTATAAACCTTTTGGAGTATCCAATGCGGAACTGCCAAATTTAAAGGTTAGATTTAGAAATGATTTTGCAACAACAGTTGTTGATAGCCTCAATTTAAACGATTCATACACAAAGTACCCGGTGCTTGTTGACATTTTCGAAGGAAAAAAGCTATTCGCCACAATGAAAGATGTTGCTGAAAAGTTGAGAGATACCGCCCATTTCTTCTTCTCGCCTGCACTGATTAACATCTATGATCTGGACGAATTTGACTTGGAAGATATGCTGCACTATCTGGCATACTCTGGTGGTGCCGTTGGTTTTATGAATCTTCTAGATAGCTGTACAAAAGTCGATAGAGATTTGATTTTTAGTTTTATTGCAACTCATGAGCTGATTTTGCAACAATGGGTCTATTTTGCAAGGAAATTTAAAAAAAAATCCTCATTGAGGCTATTGAGGTATATACAAACAAAGTTTAAAGGTAACACCAAGTACGATTTGACAAACATTGCCATAAAAGCCAAAATTTCTGAGGGAAAGCTATTTGTGCTCAAAAAATGTGCAAAGGACTCGAAAAAAGAGCTTGATGTGGATAAATTTAGTTTGAATTTACTTCCTGATGGTGTCAAAGCTTGAAAGGGCGTCAAAGGTTAGGATGATCAAATGGTCTGAGATGGTGAAAAATGGGAACTTTTAATAAATTTTTTATTTGACACGCTCTTTGCGTACATTGACTCTAAAATTAATTCCAATGAACACTATATTTTTAAAAGTAAAATCGGCATTTGACCAATACTTGTAAAGCATGTAGACTGAGAAGGCCACAATTTTAAACACAAAATTTAATCCAAAATCAGAGAACGAGCGAATATTTTTATTGATCCGCATAAATTTCGCCAAGATAATAATATCTTAATAGAAGCCATGCTCCAATTCTTCAAAATCTGGTAGAAGAATGCATCAGCTCAAGTATGCATCAGCTCAAGTATGCATCCAGCTTGTCCAACTTTGATCTTTCCAAAACATTTTTCTAAAGTTGCTAGCGTATATTCAGCTTCCCGTGGGGTTGCTAACAATGTACTTTAAGGTCCAAATTTAAAAGTAAATTCATTCTCCCCCATAAATCCATGACCTTTAGGTGGCACTATTATAACTAATAAATAGCCGGATGTGCTGTTCTTACTAGTAGGTGCCAATATTTACAAGCGATTGTAGGGTTAGGGCAAGTCTATAATAAACTTCAGCCCGAATATTAATGTGGTGCTGCCACATAAAAAGTTTAAATTCAACTAAATTTTATGCTTCCCCGCATCAATGAACGTAGTGGTTCCTTCAAATACCGCCCAGGATCGATTAAAGAAGCGACGCAAGCGTTAGGATTTGGTACTCTTTTGGCAGTTTCTGGGGTTGTATCTATTACGTATTGCACGTGTACGCTATTTAATATCTCCTCCTTTCTGGACTTTAGAATGAAGATGGAATCCCTAATGGGTAAAAGAAATTAAATTTAAAGTATACATAAAAGTTAAAAATTAAACCCCATGCATTTTGCTTTGCATTCTACATTTAATTTTTCAAAATAAATGAGTTTCGGTGGACGTGGTGGCGGTAGCTTTTCACGCGGCTCCAGAGGCGGTAGCAGCCGTGGAGGCGGAAGTTTTGGTGATCATGGTGGAAGAGGTGGGTTCGGTTCCGGCGGTCGTGGTGGCGGAAGCTTTGGCGACCGTGGTGGACGAGGTGGTTCCAGAGGAGGCAGTGGTGGATTTCGCGGATCATCCAGAGGTGCCCCCGATAGGCGCGGAGGCGCTAGAGGGGGTCGTGGAGGTAGCCGCGGAGGACGCCCTGGACTTGGCGCTGGATCTGGAAAAGTTATCATCGAGCCTCATCGTCACTCTGGCGTCTATGTTGCGCGAGGAAAGGAAGATCTTTTAGTGACGAAAAATTTTGCCCCGGGTGAGTCTGTTTATAACGAGAAGAGGATAAGCGTTGAATCTCCTACAAATCCTGGCGAAAAAATTGAATATCGCGTGTGGAATCCGTTCCGATCAAAGCTTGCTGCAGGAATCCTTGGTGGAATTGAAAACATCCACATTTCGCCGGGCTCCAAAGTGCTCTACTTGGGTGCAGCCTCTGGAACCTCTGTCTCTCATGTGTCTGATATTGTTGGACCCACTGGTCTGGTTTATGCAGTCGAGTTTTCGCACCGATCTGGACGCGATCTGATAAATATGGCCAAAAGGCGTATAAATGTCATTCCTATCGTTGAGGATGCTCGCCACCCGCACAAATACAGAATGCTTGTGGGGATGGTCGATACTATTTTTGCAGACGTTGCGCAGCCAGATCAGGCCCGTATTATTGCCCTGAATGCTCATCACTTTCTGAAGAACGGTGGTCATATTGTTATCTCGATAAAGGCAAACTGCATCGATTCGACTGTTGACGCTAGCGTTGTATTTGCCAGAGAAATCAAAAAACTCCAGGAGGAGCGGATCAAGCCTCGGGAGCAACTCACCCTTGAGCCTTATGAACGAGACCATGCATTAGTTGTGGGAGAGTATCGTGCTCAAGCCAAACAGTCTTAATTAAGAAAATAAAGAATATTTGACAATTAATTTTTTAATGAAGCCGTCTCCTCAATGGCACATTGGCCAGATTGGCGATGCACAGGTGTTGCGGCTATTCTCTTTGTTCTCGGAGAGAAATGGGGATTTTCTGGCTGGGTATATCCTTCAAGTGAAGGTAATTTCCGGCCATAATATTAAAGGAAACATCTCTACACGTCTTGCAATACGTCTTTTCGGATGGAATATTCTGTCCACAGAGGGTGCAAGGTACCTATCAACTTGCATCGCCAGTTGTTGGCGTTGTTCCCTGTTTAGCCGCCAATAGTGGTACGGTTGATGAGCTTTTTTGTTCGATCGCAATAATCCAAGCGAATGGCGTTTTCACAGCCATCAATGTTTCCGTTGCCAGTTGCGTTGCCTCTTTTGCTGTGTTGAGCAGGTTTTCAATCCCATCGACGTTTTGGGTTGGTGGCTCTGTTCACGTTTGCGCGTGTGAAAATATGATTGCCACCATCCCTACAATTGGCATTTGTTCGTTGTTTGAGACAAGTGACTGCTTGCAATTCGGCCTTCTTGTATGCAATGTTGCTTTTTTAATTGTAGAGAAACTATAGAACGGAAGGAATTGTGTGGAACTGCATCTTCATCTCAAAGAGCATGCTTGCTGTTATTTGCGACAGAAAAAACTTGCATGGAGAATATGTGTTTTGGATCTCTCTTGTAGATATCTACTTGGGGCACGTGATGGACCATGCTCTTGCTTTGAAATCTTCCACAGACTATCCAACTTTGTTGCAAAAGAGTGTCACAGAAGAGGTACCTTTAGCCCGTCGTTGACCCTAATTCTGCTAGAATGAATTCTTTCTGGTGACAAAGGAGTCAATTTTCCACCTGCTTGTTGAAAGTAATTCAGACGCCAAATATGAGCTTAAGATGCTGAATACAATGCCTCTTTCGTATCCCAATGCGCATCCAAAGCTGATGCTGCAGTATTTGGATTCTATTTTCATTTTAAACGATTCTGGGGATCTCTTTCTATACGAGGCAGGTTATAGTAGGCCTCAGCAACTTGATATTCCCCGTGTCTCTTCATCTACATTTCTGGTGGTAGACACGCTGATCTTTCTTGATGGGGCTGAGTTCATTGTCCTAAATGTATAATATGTCTCGGTAACCATCTAGGGTACGGATTTATCGGTCGTGCATAGGGTCTCCAGAAGTCCCATCATAACTAGCCTAATTCCATTCGATTCTTGTTTGTTTATTGGAGCCTGTGAAGAAGGTGTTAAGCTGATTTCAAATTCTCCGCTCATACTGGTGCCTTCGAACAGTGTTGTTAGTATGGGAGCCTCTCCCTTCTATGGCCTCCATAAGATACCGTTGTTTAATGGAATTGTTCCTGTCTTTTATGTTAAAGATTCGTGTTACAGGTCAGTGGTGATTTCTGTTAATGGTCTGACAGCTTCCATTCGTACCATTATTGAGTCTGCCTCTGCTCCAGTGGCTTTTGGAATAAACACTTGCAATGATGAGTTCTTTTCCTTTGATGTGACATTGTTTCCAAATGAGCCTGTGTTCATGCTTCCTGGACCAGGCGCAATGCTGTTTGTCAACGACATTGGTGGTCTTCTGTACATATTTCAACATAACCAAGTGCCAGCTTTATCTTCTCAGCTTCAAAGTAATCGGCTCCAAAATCCACAGGCCGGATTTGTCATTACCGATGGCAGGTGGATCCATTCTTCGCTTATTGTGATTTGTGGCCACTCTGAACTATACCCATTTGTGATGTTTTTTCGTGTGCATAGTGCGGCAGATGGGCATATCACTTTGGCAATTGAAAACACGCTACTTTTACATGCCGTTTTTGCAAATGAAATGGAATTTCCAATCATTCCAGAAAATATCGTATTTGATCGGTACAGCGACAACATGCAATCCATTAATATGCTGGTTGGCTTCCGATCTCCTGGGGGCTATCTTTTGCAGCTTTCATACTCTCCAAATACCTTGAGCTGGAGTTTTAACTCGGGCCCATTTATGGTCGGCCATGCGAATCTCCCAGTTGAAATTTCGATGGGCGATAGCCTTTCAGATATATTTTGTATCTGCTATGGCGAAAGCATGTGGATCTTGCCAATTTCATCTGTTTCAAACGGTAACGTATTAAGGGAGTCTTTGGAAAAGCCCCCGAATAAGGTTTGCCGTCATATCGGCTCATTTCTTTAGTTGGCATCCAACTTGCACTCCATTGCGATTGTTGAGAATACTTTGGTTTTAGGCGTTTTTGAAAATGACGAGTATAAATTGTTGCTAGCATCAATCGCCAATCCCGTCAACGACCGTGATGCATGGCGACCTCTCTCTAGAAAAGTCAATCGAACTGCTATGGTTCCTTTTACGGCTACCAATGTAATGGCGACATCACATCATATCATGTGGTACAACTGGTATCGGTATGCTTTCCCGTATGTTGATGCGTAGAAAGTCTTTTGAGAAAAAGATCCAATTGCCCGGTGATGGCAGAGTGGTGACTGCTCTGCTTGCTGTCTCATATGAGATTCTTTTTGTCGGATTTTCTGTCTTAAACAAACGAGGGGCCGTGTGCATTTATGAGAACGGCGCGTGTGTCAGTACTTTAGATTTTGATTCCCAAATCATATCGATCACTGCCATTCCAGAAACCCCGCTACATTTCCTGCTACTCGAGGTGAACCAAGTAACGCTGGCAAGGTTTTTAAAACAAGAGGACGCATTTACATTTTCTTTCCTTTCTATCTTCAAAAGCACCCATTCATTGGTTTCGTTGGACATTTTAAAAGGCTTCCCCAAACTAATGCACGTGGCGGTTGCAACACGTGCAAATGGAATCCTAATTCTCGCACTCGACTCGCAGACTTGGCAGTTTTCGGCTTCCAAGTACCGATTTTCCTTTGATGCCAATTTTAGGGAAATTTCAGATATTGGGCCCACGTTGCTTGTCAAATTTATCAACGATCACACGATCCTGCCCATCGAGTCCTTTAGCTCGAAAATTGCCCTCAGATCAACATCAGACAAATGTGCTGATGATGTAGACCTTTATTTTCCAGAACTGATCGCAAGCATCGGGTTGCAGCGTCCGGCCAATGGCTTCCGCTCGAATTCCTTTCTGGTTTCAACTTGGACTGGTTCAATGTACGAAGTCCAATGTGTTAATCTCAATATTTCCACTGCCAACCTTGGCCTTGCTCCAGGCATGGTGCCCCGTTGAGTGCTTTTTGGCTCGTCTATTTATTTGATGCAACAACACTTGCGCTTTATCCTTCGATGCGGCCCGATCCAAATTATTATTGCCAAGCTCACGATTTATTCAGATTATTACTTGCATTGCTCAATACTCGTCTTCGTCATATGGGTCAAGGTCATGATCAAATGATGTCTTTACGGAGGTATATTTAAGGACTAAATAAACTCAAACAAACTTACGTGGCTTTTGTCCCTTCTTGTTAAGGGTGGCCGTAGAGGATTGGACCGGCGCCTTGGATGCGGCAATCCTTTGGTTCAACAGCGTCTGCATTTCACTGGTTACCTTTCGAAGCTGGTTAAGCTCAAGTCCTGCAGAAAGACTACGAATGCATCCTTCAAGGAACAGCTCGTACATCGAACTTTCCTTGAAGCTTCGAATTTTTTCGACAATTGCATTTTGGAATTCAGAGAACTCGTCTCTGGTTTTCGGGCGCGCCTCATCAATCGAATACGACAAGGAATGGCGAGAGGGGGCCAGCTTTGACCCTTGCTGTGGGGCCAGGTTCTCCCGCGGAAGGTTCAAAAGATCATTGGCACATTCAAGGCTGTGAGACTTTTCAATCTCCAGCGCCTCCATGCGCGAAAGTGTTTCCTGGCCATTTAGAAAGCAGCGATTTTACCTTTGACAAGGGGTGGCTTATTGTACATTGGGAAGACACATGCTCGTCAAGCATTTCTTCCCAATCCTCGGTCAAGTTTGAGGGCTCCAGTTGCTGAAATTCAGACTGGCCTATGGGCAAAAGGAGGGAAAGAAATGCAATTGTTACCCTCAATGCTCCACGGATTTTGATTCATGCACAAAAAAGTTTATTTTTTGTAAATTTGAGTCTCCAATTGTGCTTCAAATTTACATCAATTTAATTGCAATGGAGTCTTCATTTAATCATCCTGCTCATCAGGGCTTGTCTTCTATGCATTCTCCATTTTCGCCATATTCGTCCGCATATAAGCCATCGTCGACAGTAATGCGTTTGTTTTTATCTCCTACCTTAGCAATCGTTCAAGGAATTTATTAATTCGGCATTTGGGAAGAAAGGGAACTCGCCTCCTGTATCATTGCCGCTATCAGTACTCCCGGGCCTGCTACGTTCTTTGCAAGATAAATTTTCTTCCTTTTACATAAAGAATGAAGACATTTCTCAAATACAGAATATTTCGCTCTCATTTCCGACCATGGAAATAACTTTAGAAGAGTTTTATTCGCTTCTTAGGAATGTTGATAATTGGATATCTAAACGATACTCAAACAGCTCTTCAAAGGACAAATCCGTTCTCCATAATATTTGCTCGTCTCCACATAGGACGCAACACCCATTTTCACTTGGAATCGTCACGCCGACGAGCTCGTTGCCTACCGTTCCTACTGCAGATACCGACGACGAATTGTCATTTAAAACGCCAAAATTTGACAAAAAAGACCTGTCCACATTGCTTGGCGATTCTTCAAAGTTCTCAAAAGTAGGTTTTGGGCGGAAATTGATTTTAGAATTCTATCCACAAAGAGCTTCYAGACAATCTTCGAAACAACAAGGATGCGCTTTTGGATAAGCTGATTCAAAAGGCTGCACATGAAAAGCTATCTCTGCTCCAAAGAATTGACCGCTTGGAAGAGAAATATACGGAAAATATAAAAGGCCAAGAGAGCATCATTCTGGATTTGAAGAAATCAAATGATCTGATCATGGACGAGCTCAAGACCTCCAAAGCCCTCTATGACAACCAATTGTCATTGAGCAAAAGGGTACCACGAATTTATCCAACTTCCCTAGCTTGAGGAGACGCTTCATACTTTAAAGTATCACCCGTCAATGGAATCCAATGGTGTGCCATCGACAAAGCCCGATTCAAGTAAAATTAATTCGCCATCAATTTAGCTTTTTTAAAAGAGGAAGCCGAGCCAGGCCAATCAGAGCAAAGCAATTTACAGGTAGGTTAAGTTTCTCGTTGATTTAGAATGTGGAAATCGATATTTTCCCTCGAAACGCTCAAGAAGCACATACAGCGACCACAAATATGCAAACAAAGACCAAAAACGCTCCAGATTGCAAAGAAAACGAGCCAAGCCTTAACATGCTTTCTGATTCTGAACCGATCCTTTCAGACACTCCGAAGAGGATGGCCAGGACTGAGGACGATATGCTGCCTTTTGTTAAGCCTATTCTTGATTTCCATCAATATTCACCAAATGGAATGCAGGAAGGGTATGAATCGGATAACTCTTCCATTCTTGAAGGCGAAGGTGAGAAAATTGTTGTAATGGAAACGCTCTATATGACATCTCCAATTCGGATGAGCGACTTGGATGCTTGTCAGGATCTCCCCAAAACCAGTGCTTTGGATGCATCTCATATAGACGAGTCGCCTTTCATTCAAAAAAATGGCGAGCCAGCGACTTTGGATTTCCAAAAAACTGCGAAAGAAGATGCTATTTTTTCTCCGGAAGCCGAATTGACAAAACAAAGCGATCACTTGCTATCTTCCGACTCTTCGTATCCAGAGTCTAGCTCGATATCGTGCCCGGAAGATTCTCTGGATGAGTGCAAAATACTATCCCCGCCCTTTGTATGCACCGAGACTCCACCTACTATCGTCGATGAACACGAGAATGCAGCGGCAGGTCAAAGGGAAGCTTCAATTGAAAAAGAAGCTTCAATTCAAAACGAAGATACCGATCTTTCCAAAATATTTGATGGAAATACAGACGCCGGGATTTTAAATGCAGATGATTACAAATCCTTTTTTGCAAAGCTAGCAGAATGGGAAGAAAAGCACAGGGAAACAAACGAGGAAATCCTCTCCTCTGTAAGAAATAAGAGATTTTCTCCAAGAACCTCAAAACTGTATTCCGTTGATTCTATAATGACACCGGTGGCACCCAAGCAAGAAATATTGACAGAAACTACACCCATCGAAAAAGATACTACTAGCCTTTTTGTCGCCAATGGCGAGCAATTAGTGCTGTTCTCGTCATTGGCGACAAAGGGTCCAGACGCCATCATGCCTATTTCCGAGCAAGAGCAGAGCTATGTTGAAAAATTGTACTCTGTAGGAGCCCGTATAAAGTCACTATCTCTATCCGCTCCAGAACGAAAATTCATGATGCACGAGCTTGTCAGTAATGAATCGGAAGCTTTGGCTGCCAATGACGGCCGAAAACAAGATGACACCTCGTCAACCCTGACATTTTTGCGTATTTTTCTTGTCTGGCTGGTAACCCTGATATTTTGTACAATTGTTATCGAAAATTATAGAGAATATTATTTACAAATGAGTGTTTATTCCTACCCGCCCGCCTGATTTTGAATATTAATAAATTTTGTGTTAATTTGGACACCTTTTATGCTAAATTTAAACAATTTGTCGTAAATTGGTGTATTTTATTTCATTTGTCGTACTGTTTCAATATTCAAATGGCCGCACAATGCACGGCTTATTGTCATGTTTTCATATCCTCTCGTTCAGAACGGCATTTCTTCGTCGCAGTCTCAGTCTCATATCGATAAGGGTATAACATACTGGGCCTTTCCATCAAAAAAACCCCATTGGCCCTTATCTCATCAAATGTTTGGGTTCTTCCTAAGACGGCTCTATTCGCCCTTAGGAAATTCTTTTCTAAGCCCCTCGGAGCATGATGGTCCATGTATGATGCACAATGGGCCGCTATTTAATGCATTCCAATTATTGCAGGATAAGGTCGAAGTAAGCGGTTATGCTATTTTTACCTATAGCTTGAGCACAAGGTGACCACTTGTAGCCGCAATTCTCACGTCGCTACAGATTGCCATGGCACCACTGAAGCGCTTTCTTCGTCTTCTTGTGTTGTTGAAAATCCATATTTTGAGGGAGATGAAGAAGTAATTGGACGTCCAAACATTGTTGCTCCTCCGAAACAAGAAAAGAAATCTTCCATCAATTCGGAATTGTCCATTTCTCACGTCACGATAAGCTCCCTGATTTTGGTTGTAATTTTATATTTTATTGCCGTGGAGCAAGCAAAACTTGGCATGGATATTCCGCCCGTTTAAATTAGCAAATAAATAAACAAACGAACAAACGAACAAATGAACAACACGTCAACGCGCAGATTTCAAGGCATCCTGTATTTGAGCCAATTGCTCCGCTCGTCTTCGGGCGCATAGGGTTTCAATAAACTCATCAAGCAATGAACCTCCAAGAAAAGAATCTATGCCATAGACGGATTTTGGGATCCGATGATCCGTTATCCGATCAGCAGCATAGTTATATGTTCTTATTTTCTCGTGCCGACCGCCAGTGCCAATCTATTTGTACAAGAGGGGAGGGGGCATTTCTTACAAATTCTTTCCGCATCGACTGCTGGTTGGAGTGCATTTTCTCAGCCTTTGCTTTGATAATACGTCCTTTGAGGATCTCTAGAGCCTTTACCTTGTTATCAAACTGGGATCTAGACTCCTGGCAAGTAACGACAGTTCCGGTCGGTATATGGGTCAATCTGACTGCGCTATTAGTGGTGTTTGCATGCTGCCCCCCTGGGCCACTGGATCGATAGACATCAACCTTCAGCTCTTTTTCGCTGATTTCCTAAGAAAAACCGAAAAAGGTTACTAGTTCTTCAGATCCGGCTTCAGAGCCGTTGAATACGGCTACAGTTGCCGTACTTGTATGCATCCTTCCACAGCTGTCGGTAACTGGGACCCTTTGAACACGATGCACACYCCCTTCAAATTTTAGCTTGTTAAAGGCACCCGGGCCAATAACAGAGGCACAGCCTTCGCGGAGGCCCGTCGAAGATTCCTCTTGCGAGTTAGAAAGCGGTTTGAATGTCCAGCCTTGCAGCTGGGCATATTTTTGGTACATTATCCACAGCTCCAAAGTAAACAAAGATGCTTCCGTGCCACCTGTGCCTGCTCTGATCTCCAGAATGGCATTGGATGGCGAGGAGGGGTCGTCAGCGTCGTCATTGAAAGCTTGATTTTTCAAAAACAAGCTTGTGAGATTACTTTCCAACTCATTTAGCTTGGCCGTTAACATTTCAATTTCCTCAAGAAGAAGTATTTTGAATTCTTCAGAATGAGTAGCGGCGTTTTTCCGCTCGCATTGTAGAATATCTTTCTCCTATATGTTCAAAAGGACAAGAATACCTTTTGGAGCTTTGTCCAATCCTCAAAACACCTCGAAAATGGAGATATTTCGGCTATACGTGCGTATATTTCACCGCAATCTTCCAAATTTGTATTTTTACTTAGCATCTTGTGCTCCTTGTGGAAGCGACAAGCTACGGTCCACAGAGCGGAAAACTTTCCCTCTTCACACAGCTTGTTTTCTTGCTGCGACAGCTCAAATATGAAAGAAGGAAGTTCTATTGCTTTCCTTTTCAAAGCATAAAATCTAGACTTTCCCCAAACCGAAAGCGGTGAAATCAGCCACATCGCAAGTACTGCAATAAAGTGGAAATTTTTATGTAATTTTTAAATTAAATCGTCGTCAATGTCCCACGTGGTGGACTTTTTTCTTTGATCGGTTCCTCGGTATTGGTAATCGGTGGCTTCTCTTTGGCCATTGCTTTGATTTTGATATCCAATGGATTCTCCTCTTCGGATCCCTTGGCGAGAATCAGTGAAACGAGAATTGCTGAACCTATCTCTTCCAAAATCATTGCGGTAATTCGCTCCCCCCCTGTTGTAGTTAGGGCTTGAAAAGCCCGCTCCTCTGGAGGTATTTCTCATTGATCCATATGAAACGGTGGCACGAGAATTGGATATCCTGTCATTAGATAGTTCCGGTATTTGATGAACTGCAAATATCTCGCCATTTTCGCCTACTTCTGGAAGCTCGTTTTGGATAAGAATATTCTTTCCAATCTCAAGAGGTACATCAAAAAGAAGGCTTTTTCGATCGGCACTCAATTTTCGCAACGAAATTTGAGACAATATTTTTGGAACCGAAATTGCAGCTTCCAAGGAAGAGACAAGCTCCTCAACATTATTTAGAGCTCGCTTTGGAGAGTACTGAAGCGTGATATATCCTTTTTCCCCCGTCAAAGCAGATCTGTTGATTTTAAAGGATGCAGGAAAGGATCTGTGGAGGAGAGCAGCCAGCGAAAGGATGGCATCTTTTTGAGATGCGGGATTTGATTCCAGAAATCCAGCTACAACAGCACTCATGGAATTCTTTTCTTCTACGGAGACCCCTTTGATGATTTGAGAAAAAGTATCCTTATCTTTGATGACCAGGGAGCGGCCAACGGCCAGTGCTTGGCGAGAAAATTTAAATCCAGCAATCTTTTCAATCTCCGCTAGGTCCGATAGATTCTCTTCGGGATTGTAGATCAAGACATTGACACCGCCCTTTCCTGCACGAGCGGTTCTTCCAGAACGATGGATAAAAGTCTCAACCATTGGCGGCGGGTTTAGTTGGATAACAACATCAACATCGGCGATATCCAACCCTCTTGCTGCTACATCAGTAGCAACAAGGACATTGACGCGTCCAGTTTTAAAGTCATCCAGGGTGTCGTTGCGTTGATTTTGTGAAAGATCTCCATGAAGAGCCCCGCAAATAGGCCTGATATTTCCTGTGTATCCTGAAAATAGACCAGAGGCAAGGTGAGATACTTGCCTTTTGGTGTCACAGAAAATTAGCGCCTTCATTGGAACAACAGAAGACGATGGACAAAACGTCGTGAGCACTTCAGTGACAAAGGGCACCAAGTCTTCTCCCCGATATGCAAGAGCGACCTGCCTAATGTTTTCACTGGTGCGGATCGTTGTTTCACCGACAGCATCGACGTAAATCTTGTGGGGCCGCTTAAAGTATGACTTTGCAGTGGAAGTGACCCATTCTGGGACGGTTGCACTAAATAAAAGCATTTGTGGAAATTGGTTTCCCGATGAACTGACTCCAGATTGAACGTTTGATAAAATGCTCTCCAACGATGCTTTGAAGCCGAGATCCAGCATAAAGTCCGCCTCGTCGAGTACAATAAAGTCCAAATCACCGAGCTGCAAGGCTCCTCGTTCATAAAGGTCAAGAAGCCTTCCCGGCGTGCCGATCACAATATCGACACCACGAGAGAGAATTTCCAGCTGGGGATTGATATTGATTCCGCCATAACAGACACAAGAATAGACGCTATGCGGCGAAAATTCCTTAACAGCCAATGAGATTTGAGTTGCAAGCTCTCTAGTCGGTGCAATGATCAGTGCTTTTGGTTTGGAACGGCCTGTTTTTCGATCTTGCTTTTCTGCTGCAATCTTTGAAATAATTGGAAGAGCAAAAGCGAGGGTTTTCCCTGTTCCGGTGCGAGCTCTAGCAAGCACATCGCTGCCATCTAGAATTTCTGCCCATACCGAAGCCTGGATGGGGAAAAGATTTTTTATGCCCTTTTTCAAAAAGTTGGCACGCGATTCGGCCGGCATTTCAAACGCTTCCACCGACGTCTCCGACAGCGAAGAAGTGGGATCAATGTATTTGTATGGAAGGCCGTGCTTAAGCGGAAGGCCAGCCGATGCGATGGCAAGTGATGAGAAATGCATTCGCCATCTTTTCTGGCCGAAAATCTTGGCACTGGGCTGGAATCGAGGTCGGCAGAATGTGGGACGCATCAGTTAAAATTCATTTGCGATTGTGCGGATTATGTTTATTAAATTTTATTCTTCAGATTTAAGAGTAGCACATAAAACGAAGCTATTTCTCCAATAAAGAGGCAAGGGAAATAAGGGGCGCCTATACAGGCTGCCGACAGGTTGATAAATCTGTAGACAAGAGAATCCTGAAATGTGATGACGACTTTAGAAAGAACATATGCCCCATGCCGCTTAAAATAACGCTATTTTTAGATAGCGATGGGGAGGAGAGAACCTCAATTGCGCTTTGAGAAAGAGAACAAGACGGGTCAATGTATCTGAATGGCAGCTTTGAGATCGAATGTTTTTTTGTGGAACAGACATACCTTCGAACCCAATCCTTTGCCGTAAACGGACGAAAACGAGAAGATGAACCAAACGACGGCCGATGCATGCAATTTGGATTGCTAAGCAAAGCAATTAAAATTTAATTTAATTTGATTTGATTTGTATCAAACTTATCACTTCAAGTCAGACTTGGCCACTCCATTTGAGGCCGAATAAATTGTCAATCTTGGCCACAAAAGCTGTTCTAACCCTGTAATCCAGGAGGGCGTATGTATTTTTCCGATTTATTTGCACCACCCAATTATGGGATGCTTTCCGGCCGACCATGTTTCAAGTCTTTTTCAATCATTTTGACCGCAATGGGATGGTAGGTTGATCGATTCTTTGCGAAGATTTGATTGGCCGCGTTGAAATCAATTGAGGCTAGCGCTCTATGGAGAAAATGGGGCTCAAATTACCTGTAAACTGGTCTCAAATATTTCATTCTGCCGTTGCGGGCCAAAAACGCCTCAACCTCATTTAAATCGACTATTAATCCACAAGACAACGAAAGGCAAAGCCAAGAATAGAAAATTTCGACATTTGTAACATCATGTAGCGAATATGAAGAATAAATGGCCCTCAGCGTAGAAAAGGTCAGCTTTTCTTTGTGCTGCAACGAAAGCACATTAAAAAACGACACTAGAAATAGGAATAATTAATTGCAAGGCAACCTTTTTGCCACACCGTAAGCAAGCAATATTCGGCAGCGGTGGTGGGGATTTTGTTTGTATCTTCCAGCACCCTAAAGACTTAATAACAACATCAACTTTCCAATCAGCACAAGCACGCTATCCCTCATGCTGGTGTCGTAATTGGGAATCTTAGGGGGCATTCCATGTCCGTGCAACCAGGCTTCCCAATCAACAGTGTCAAATGTTCCACATGGAAAGGACGAAATTAAATGCTGGAGCCATTCGTCAGTGGAAATGGATCTGGTTGCAAAGTGTTTCAAATATTTTTGCATGTAGGATAAAAAGGCATCTTGCCCGACAATAGTCTCCAAGTAAAATAAAAGAGTGTGCCCTTTTTCGTAGGGGACTCTGGAAAACGCGTCATCTGGATCTTTTCCATTAGAAAGGTCGACAACCAATCTGGTCCATGGCGATGGATCGCATTTTCGGCGGTACTCTTCGACATCTGCGGCGAGCTCTTCCAATCCGAGGAGAGCAGAAAAATGTCTATACTTTTCATCATAGATTTGGGACAAGATTTTTCTTTCAAGAAACATCGTCCAGCCCTCGTTCAGCCAAAAATGCTCCCAAGAGCAAGACGTAACGCTATTCCCTGTCCAGCTATGGCAAATTTCATGGATAACGACATCAACCAACGACCTAAAGAAAACCCCAAAGCGCTAACTTGTCTCCTGCCAAAAGAGAGGGTGTTACAAAAGTTAAACATGGATTCTCCATTCCCCCGAAAGGAAATCCAGGCGGCAATACCAGAATGTTATAATCTGTCCACATGTAGGGCGACCCGGCCACCTTCTCAGCAAGTTGCAAAAACGTCTCCGTATCGGAGAACTCTTTTGCAGCAATTTGTACCTGCACCGGCTCTCCATATACAGTCGATCTTGGTCCGATACAAATTCCATCGATATTCCCAATTGCAAACGCAAACAAATAGCTCTACCGCAAGCAAAAATAAAAATCGAGTTACTGGAATCGGAATGGGCTGGGAAAACTCAAATACGCGATCAGAGGGCGATGCCTTTCTTTGGGCGGACATAACCGCCTTCATTCCCGGGCATTCTGTTAAATCAATGACTGCAGAGTAGCTGCACTTGAAGCTGGGAGAATCAAGACAGGGGAAAAGCGATCTGGCATGAATGGCTTGCAATTGCGTATAAACGTAGGGATGCGACTTTGAAAATGTTTGCAAAGGTAGTAGCCATTGAATAGCGCTGCAACGGGCATCCGTTTTCCAAGTTATTTCGATACGGAACTCATTTTCGGCACATAGCAATTTCGGAATCTCAACCTGCAAATATTGAGAACACATGTCACACGATGCATTTTCATTTTCCTTGATGGAATACTAAGGACACGTTTAGCTTTTCAACCATCTAACCTTCAGCTTCTGAGAGTTTCTGGCATCGACTACGGAATCAATAAGCAGGTCATGGACATCAAGAGAAAAAAAACACGAGTCCCCGCAAGTGGATGCTGTCGTGCTTAAAGCATAGATGCCCTTGCATGCAAGCACTTGGTCTTGAAAGTTTGGGGTGATCACAAAATGTTGATGTCTTAACTCGACAGGCCTATCTTCAACGGGGAGAATGCATGACGTGGGGTCAAGTTTGTACATCTTCATCAACAGATCAAAATTATGCCCCAATAAATTACCATGCAAATTTGAGGGTTTAATTCAGACTCAAAGTTTGGCCTACACACTAGACACACGGGGAGGGCCAGTCACAACATATTAAAAAAAGTTTATTGGTTTATGCATAGACAGAACCAAGATCAGCATCGCCAGAATCTGTAATTGAAAGACAACCGACTCTGAAGAATTTTCCACACGCAGTTCCCAAATCAATGTTGCCTAATGCATAAATACGTAAAGCTCTTACTTCCATTGAAATGGTGCACATGTGTCTGCGAAAGCATAGCATAGTATTCTATCTCGGACTTGCGAAGAGGTGGGCAGTTTGAGGCAAGAATGATGAGCTTCGATTTTCCTTGACGAATAGACTTGAGTGTAGAGCTGTATCCAAGAGACGCCTTTCCGCTTTTCATCACAAGAGCAAGCTTGGAGTTGATGGACTCTAGGGACCGCTTGGACTTTTTATCAGCAGTCATTCGATAGAAACAGAAAAAAATATTGTTTACCCTTGATGCAAAAAGCGAAATTTTATATTTAATTTACAGAAATTTATAGGTAGGGTTGGCCTTGAAGTTCAAATAGGCCTCCTCATTGAAAAAGGATATTTCGGTCTCATTTTGAATCGGAAACTCGGACAAGCATCTCGTTCCGGGGCCCATCAGCAAGGTATCGTCGGAATCCAGATTTATCGCCAAGTTTTGGGACTTTGTGCCATGTGGCTGGTAATATATTTTCAAAGTATCCAAAGTGGTCTTTAAAAAGCATTTCGAATAAATTGGATGCTTGCAAATTTCTAATGTTAACAAAAAGTGCATGTACCCTTTTCAATGTAACCTTTAAGGTCATCGACAGTAGCACTGCCACTTTCAAACAGAGTGTCAAAATCTTTGATAATCAAATGAAAGATTGTCCGAAACTCGAACGACTTGATCAGCCGAATTGTCACCAACATTTTAAAAACTTTATTAAACTGATCACAAATTGATATGTCGCGGTGTTTTAATAATTTTAATGTCATCTGTGTTGGATCAACTGAGGGAATATACAACCATTGTATGTGATACGGGAGACATAAATGGTTCGACACAATTGATCATATAACTTTAGCTATCACTAAATTCAAACCGCAGGATGCCACCACAAACCCAACGCTAATTCTGGCCTCTTCTCAGCAGCCAGAGTACGCTCATTTGATTACGGACGCCGTTGAATTTTCGCTTGCAAAAAAGTCCCCTCGGTTGGTGATCTAATTTGTAGATGCAAAAATGAGGTCGAAAAAATGCATTGGGCGCTTGACAAGTTGGTAGGTGGGAGTTTTGAATACCCTTTTAGATTGTAAATTTTGGCGCCGAAATACTAAAAATCATCCCAGGAAGGGTCTCCACTGAAGTTGACGCAAGGTAGTGCATCTGCCGTTATTTTGCCAGATTATCTTTCGATACGCAGGGGACCATCGAGAAGGCTAGAAGACTAATCGGGTTGTATGAGAATGAAATGAAAATCCCGCGAGCAAGGATCCTAATCAAGATAGCCGCCACGTGGGAAGGAATCGAGGCTGCAAAAATGCTGGAAAAAGAAGGGATACACTGTAACCTGACCCTTTTATTTGGATTTCCACAAGCAGTTTGCTGTGCGGAAGCCGGTGTTACACTGATATCGCCATTTGTTGGTCGTATCTATGACTGGTATGTGAAGGAGACCGGAAAATCCTACTCCCACGCAGAAGACCCCGGGGTGGAATCAGTGAAACGAATTTACAATTACTACAAGTTCTTCTCCTACAAGACAACAGTGATGGGGGCCTCGTTTAGAAACATCGGTCAAGTGCTTGAGCTTGCAGGTTGCGATGCTTTAACGGTCTCCCCGACGCTTCTATCACAGTTGCAAGCCGATTGTAAAACCAGAATCGAAAGAAAAATGTTCAATTCTGCTCCTGAGCACTTGAAACTTCATCGGGTTTCGTTCGATGAGAAGGGATTCCGATTTGCAATGAATGAAGATCAAATGGCAACAGAAAAGCTTTCAGAGGGGATCAGAAAATTTTCAGAGGACGCTGCCAAGCTCGAGGCGCTTTTGCTTGCCAGATTCTAGCTAATAAAATTTACGTCGGCCTAGCGATTTCGGTTGCGCTCGAAAACTCTTTCAAATACTTGGATGGATTTTTTCCTTTCAAACAACGGTTGTAATTTCTTTTATTCAGAGACTTTCTATTCTTTATGTTATTCTTCACTTTCAAAGGGCTCCTTCGATGCTTGGCAAGGGATGAACTATTTGGGCCCGCTCTTGGCCCTAATGGATGCAGATAGCTCAGGTACAAGCTTAAAGATATCGCCCACGAGCCAGTAGTCAGATATTGAAAATATTGAGGCCTCTGGATCCTTATTAATGGAGACAATCACTTTGCTGTCTTTCATTCCAGCTACATGTTGAATGGCTCCCGAAATCCCGACGGCAATGTAAAGATCTGGGGCCACAATCTTGCCAGTTTGTCCGACCTGGTGTTCGTTGGCAATAAACCCGCTATCGACGGCCGCTCTGGAGGCACCAACTATTTAAAGTCATTATTGACCGTTGCCGTCGTACTTGCACCGCCCAAAGCGTCGGCTAATTCGAAAATAACTTCTTGAAAGAGCTGTGCTGAGCCTAGAGCCCTGCCGCCAGACACAACTATTTTTGCATCTGCCAACTCGGGTCTTTTCTTGGATGCAGGATCGCAATTAGATTTTTTGCTTAATAAAACAGAGCGAAAATCTATTCACATGAGGCTCTGCAAAGATAAACCTTTTGATTTCAATAGATTTTCATGGTCTACATATTCGGGCGGAGAGAATGTAGCATTCTTTTCTTCATCTACACCTGGAAAAGAAGAAGATCTTATTGTGATTAATTTAATAGGATCCAAAGAGCGCACTTTACAAAAGGCATTTCCTATGCAATATAAAGGCACCAAGAAATCACCTGCGAAAATGGGCCTCACAAAGACATTATCCGATTCGATCTTAATCACATCTGTGACCGGGGCTATGTCGATCATTGCAGCAAGACGAGGAACGAACGAACGAGTGATGGACGAGTTTGAGGCAATAAAATGTGTGACATCTCCCAATCGGCTTATTAAAGAGGACAATGATTCAGAAAGGGGTTCAGGCAGAGATTGTCCTTCGCCACTAATCGAATAATGAATTTTTCTCAAATGATTGCCGAGATCCTTGCTGTTTTCCTTGAATTTGGATAAGGATTCTGGAGAATCAAAGAGTGCGATTCCTTCGGCCAAAGATGAACTTATCGATTTTGAAGCAAATATGGCATTTATATTTGAGGAATCAGGGGCTCCCTTATTATGCGAGAGCCATACCAACTTTGTGGCATAGCCTCTCAATGACGAGATACCGAACCGTTGTCGCATTTGGGCAAAAAACCAGCTAGGAAACACTCATCAAGTGATAAATTTTCGATTGTTGTTTAATTTTATTTTACAATTAACCATCCTCACCAAATTCTTTTGTAAATTCAAGATGCTTTTCTATGTCTGCAAATGAAACAGAGGCCTTTACTCTGCCAAGCGATTTCAAAAAGTCGTCCATCACCAGCTGTGGCTCCATTAACTGGCCTGAATTGAGCAAGGTCCAGTTCATTTCAATTGCTCCCGGCTCTCCCGCTAAACAAGGTGTCATCATGTCTTTAGCGGATGATTTCAAAGGAGAAGAGGAAGAATCTGCATTGAATGGTTTAAAATGTGTCGCCATTTGTATTTTTCTTATAGGCTGCATGAGTGCGTCTCGAATCAACACATTGATATCCGATCCAGAAAACCCTTCCGAAAGCACGGCCAACTGCTTCAAATCTTGATGGGATAGAGCTGCCTCCTCTCCTATTCCTTCGACAAACATTTTATATCGGGCAAGTGGGTGCGGAAGCGGAATATATATCCGTTTTTCGAACCGCCGCCGTATTGCCGGATCCAATTGCCACGGTGTGTTTGTTGCTCCCAGGACAAGGATTCCTTTATCATCAGTGCCGACACCTACACCATAATAATCACACCTTGACAGTCTACCTTGCATTTGGACGAGAAATTCTGTCTTCACCCTTCTGGATGCTTCACTCTCGCCATCTGTTCTAGATCCGCATAAAGAGTCTATTTCATCGATGAATATGATTGACGGTCTCGACTCTCTGGCCATCTCAAAGAGAGACTTGACGAGCCTAAATTAAACAAATCAAGTCAAATTAAATACTTTTCACTCTCTCCCAGCCATTTAGATAACAGATCAGATGACGAGACAGTTATGAAGGTTGTATTGCTTTCCGTTGCAACTGCTTTAGCTAGAAATGATTTTCCGGTTCCAGGGGGCTATTGGTAATTTGATTGAAAAGTACGCCATACAAAAGAATCCCGCGCCAAGGCTTTCTTTTTCCAGAAAACAATTGAGGGAATTTGATGGGAAGGATCACTGCTTCTTTTAAGGCTTCCTTAGCACTTTCCAGCCCAATAACGTCTTCCCATTTAACATTTGGATTTTCCTTTAATATTGCGCTTTGTAAATTACTTTTCAGCTTGTCGGAGGCGTCCGAGGAATTTGTGAGGGAAACTGAATTTGACCTGAAGAATGACATTGAAACATAATGGTACATACACTGATGGCTTTGTAGAAGAAGATTGAGATAGGTGCAGCTTTATTTTTTCCGCCCTCTGTAAATAATCTTCCATTTTAATTCTAAGTTGCTCCTTTATTTTCTCGTTCTTTTCATCTACAATAAATATGCCCGCTTCCCATACACTTTATCGCTGCAAGGAAATGCTCCAAGCTTCGTTGGTATAAGTTAAGAGCCTCCTCATAATTATGGGCGAGATCCTCATCGGTTGCCCTTTTAATAAATTCTATAGCTTTCTAAAGGTGATGACCATATGGGCACCTTGAGGAATTTGTCATTGTTCATGTTGTAAAATTTAGGGAACAAATACGGAATAAATTTGGAATAAATTGGACCAAAATTTTAATTTCCTTTCACTTATTACACCCTGGCCATAAAATCGGGACAAAGTTATTTTTTTTTTAGGGGTCGATAATTTCGAGAAACCTAATATTTTGTGAACCTATTCCATGGCCATTATCAAACCAGCTCCCATTCCGTCTCGCAAATTTGTGATTGATTGCACCAAGCCCGTTAACGATGGTGTTTTTGATGTTGCTTTATTCGAAAAGTTTCTCCATGACCGCATTAAGGTGCACGGAAAAACAGGAAATCTTGACCATATCGTCAATGTTTCTCGCTCTGGAGCCGTTGTGACCATCAGCGTACAGAACATCGAGTTTTCCAAGCGCTACCTCAAATATCTGTCAAAAAAATTCCTGAAAAAGAATTCCCTCAAGGATTGGCTTCGTGTAGTTTCTCTTGACAAGGCTACCTACCAGCTGAGATACTACAACATCAATGCTGATGCTGCAGAGGAGTCTTCTGATGAAGAATAGTTTCGTTAATAATAAATGGTCGTTTATTTTTAAACTTTAAATTAAACTTTGCCTTAAGTCTTTCATATTGGCGCCAATTTTTATGGATCGCTTCATGGCCCCCCTGTTCGATTATGATAGTCATCGCAAAGGTCCCAGCACACCGGTGAGAAGATCTATTCGGATAGCGAAACAATTGCAATCTGGCGAGGAATTGGATTTGCTCTCAAAATTGGAGGAAGAGGATGGCGAGGGGCTACCTCCGAATCATCATGCCAAGCCAAAGGGATTGACTACGAAAAGCAGCCTTCGATGGCCGTTTTCATCTTACTCTGCGCCTGCAGATGAATCTTTCCCCGGAACACCAACAAGAGTGGCGACATTTCCGTTCTCCACTCAATCGCAGCCTGCTAGAGAACTCTCTATTAGAGCTTTGGATTTTGAAAATACCAATGTCATTTCGAAGGAAAAAGTAATGTCAAGTGCTACCGAACACAGACATGAAAACAACAATGTATTTGAAAATTCTTCTTCATCGCTTTCTGATTCTTCATCTTTTTCAGAGAAATCCTCCTCCTCAGATAGCATGATTTTTTTGAAGACCCCGAAGGTCCCTTTCAATCTTTGGTTGAGGAGATCGTTTTCGCAGTTTTCTTCATATTTGGCTTGGCCTTACAATGTTTCGCTAAGATTTAAGCCACTGATGGTCCTTTTCATAATAGCGCTCATTTTGCTGCTATCGATTAGGCATTTGTATAAGGGAAGAAGCAGGATATCATACGATTTTCCTGTCGATTTGAATGGAATCAAATTTACAGAACACTTTGAAAAGCCAATAACACCACCGCAACCATCGTCATCATTTTCATCAGCATCCTCCTCCTTGACTTATAATGAGTTGCTTGCAAGGACTCAAGAATTAGAAAGGATAGTCACAGCCGTCGTTCAGCAGCAACATCAATTTACGGAAAGGTTTTTCCCACTTGCTGAAAACTACAAAGCCTCTTATGATCAACTAGACAAAATACAATCCGAGTTTCTCACGGTCCAAGATAAATTTGAAGCCATGTCTTCAAAGCTTAATTTGCTTGATAGAGATATCGTAAGTCGCTCCGAGTTTGAGCTGAAGCTTTCCAGCTTGGTTTCTCAATTCAATGTAGCGCTTCTGAATACTTCACAAGCAACCTCTGAAATGTTTTCAGAGCTCAAGAGCCAAATACCAACGCAAGATATTCCCGATACAAATCGCCACCATCTTCGTGATCACAGCCACGAGCAGCCGGCCCAGCCCGATTATGCCTTGTATAGTTTAGGAGCGAAGCCATTATTTATCCACTCCTCAGATACGCTTCATGTGCTAAATAGCTTCATTAGTAGGCATTTTGGCGTTGGCGTGATTGGGAAGGCACATTTTTATGCACTGCTTCCTGGGGTTGTCCCAGGGAATTGCTGGTGCTTTAATGGAAATCGGGGAAATTTTTCTTTTTCCATTCCAAGGGCAATTGCTCCATCCTCTTTTTCAATTGACCATCCATCCTCAGCTACGCTCGCCAATCGCTCTTCGGCCCCGCGAAAAATCGAATTGTGGGCCTCTTCTGATGTAGATCTTGAGAGTACTGATAACATCTTTGTTCGTCTTTTCAGAAAGATCTCCAGAGCTTCTTCAACAGATCCGTGGGATTCTTTCCTTGGTGCGTTTGAATACGACATTGATGGGCTTTCTACGCAGACATTTGCCATT